CGCCCTTGATGATTAGACTGTTCCCATCATGGGTTTGTGAGATCGAGATCCTTGGGGCTCTTTTAACATCAGCCAGCACCCGCCCCGCAGTTCAGGCTTTTACTCGTTTCCCTGCTGCTGCCGGGCGGTGCTGTTGGCCGCACTACACTCCTGAGATCGTTCACCTTCCCTTTCTAGGGTTCGCTTAGGGCAGCTGGATCGAATGGCCCTTTTCCCCGCAGCCATAGCACCTAGGGCTGTAATCTTTGTTGTGGTCGCGAACTGTAGCTGCTGCAACCTCCCTGACGCGATCGGAACGATGACCCTGCCGCACAGATTCCACCTCCAGTGCATGGGCCAAGGCGTCCTTAAGTGTCTCGTGGTGCCCGAGCCTCACAGCAGCTCTGGCTTGAGGTCGCGGATGCCGTCGATGAATGTTTGCACCAAGTTCCCTTTAACGAGCGCAGGTACTGACCGGTATGCTTTTCGCACCAGCTTCTCCACCTCTAGAGCCCACTGCTGCAGGTTTTCGTTGATGCGCTGCACGCGATCTTTAAGCTGCACACGAAAGACGTGGTCCAGGTGAGCGTCGCCATATCTCGCCTCCGATGCCTCAAGGAGTTGCTCATAAGTCACTTCCTCACCGAGAGCTTCCAGAACTGTTAAGGCCTGGTCGCGCAGGCCTAGTGTGAGAGCCGTCATGGCCTGACTTTTATTCCAGCCTTTCGCCTTCATAACAGCCTCAAACTGGATTTTGAGGGCTGACCAGAAAGAAGTCCCGTCGAACGGTGGCACTTTGAAGCCACGTAGCGAAGGCGTTGTAGCTACTGCGGAGGCTGCAATTCCATCTCCAAGTTTGAGTTCATCCAGCGTTTTCCTAACTTGGTTGATTTGGGTCTCAGCTTCCGACAGGCGGTTATCATGTTGAGCAACCTTATCCTTCACCTCCCTTATCTCTTTCCCGAAGGTAGCGTGAAGGTCCTTCACGAGAAGCATCTGGTCTTCCTTGTCGCGTTTGAGCTGCTCTTCTAAGCGACGGGCCTGTTCTGCCTGCTGATCTTCCAACAGACGGGCCTGTTCCTCTCGTCCGCGCTGCAGCTGCTCTTCCAACCGACGGGCCTGCTCCTGCAGCATCACCATCAGAGCACCTAAGTCAGGTGCTGCAGATGCAGGAGCTACTGACGGACCGGCCTCCGTTGCCGGCGGCTGGCCCTACGACGGCTGCGGTGTTGCACCACCAAATCGTCTCTGGTCCGTCACATGCTGGCGTTGGCTGCGGGTACGCCAACACCCTCCGTTTCCTCCTTAGGTAAAATCGGCATGATTTTATCCCACTTCTGACACCAATTGTTACGAGCTAGGTTACAAGTGTTAATTTTGGTAATACTGCCGGCAGTTTTGAATTGTCACGAACTCAAAATGTAACAGTAAAGTATAGGGAAATGGGGATCCTTTTTATTGGTAACGTGGTATTCGTGTCTATGGTGTCTATGATCTACAGCGATTACTATGTCGAAGTTTTCACATTCACAAATTAATATTCCTTTCGATAATACTTTTATTTTCGGTTCGATCAGTGTGTTTTGACAGATTATAGACCGCGCGTTGTTTATTGTTTGCGTCTGTGGTCAGCGGTTGTGTTAGAGTAATTACATACATATGTGTTTGACGTTGACTAAGATGTTTGGCATTCGATTTGATCCACCATTCACCATTAAACTGTAAATACTTTTATACAATAAGGATAACAAACGAGCCTGATGGTAAGTGGATACTGTAGCCCATAGAAATCTATTCTCGGTAATCTTTGTCATCCCTGAGTCAGATGAAATATCTTGTTTCCAGTAACTAAGGTCTCCGGTTCTCTACACTTTCCATATGAAACACAGCTATTTTACACTGGTTTTCTGTGAGAGCGTTGTCCTTCCCCGTTCGAGCCGACCCCTTTGTGTAATACCACACTATAGCTGCAGCGTGGTTTTACACCATAGAATACTATAATATACAATAGAATGGCTGCCAACCTTATTTTGTACGAGGGTCGGCGTCGCCGGGAGCACACATACAAGCAATAACATCGTATTATCACTAATACAAACCCGATTCACTGTGTTGACAGACAGATTTTAATACATATTTATTTTTAAATTTTGAAATTTGAAAACGATCGTAACGTCAAAACACATCTCGTGTTGAAATTTATACGTGTGAATTGACGTGTAAGTGACATTTTAGTAACTACACGGGCTTCGCCCACTCTCCCGTTCTATGTATGTATTATAATATTCTATGTTCTACACCATAGGAAATATCTTACCCACTGATGTTTAACAAAGCAACAATTTATGGATATACAAGCAAAGAAATTTAATTATAGTTACAGGGTAGTGCAAGAGTAAGAATAAGAGAAATTAAGAGTCAGAGTACCTAATTTTTGTCATGTAGTTGCGGCGTAAGAGAATCCACTATTCCATATCATCCCGTGGGAGTTTTATGATGCAAGAGAAGGGAATTAAACAAGAGATGGGTAACAGCATTTTCCTGATTAAATTGCGATTGCCAACCTACCTGCAAAGCGTGGCAACTATGGCAAATATCCATATAAAGCAGTCTATGGGGGAAGGCATGAAGTGAAGTTCAGAAGCAGAGTTTTGTTATGCTGTCGTCAATGAATGAACAAAGAGTAGATGAACAAGAGCAGCGAGACACGGTTTCAGGGATATTGAGATTTCACGCCATTAAAAAAAAACAATTGCTTTCCGTTAAAATCTATTATAATACGTAAGAAGTGCGTTTAGAGATGTCTCTCTTCGGTAAAATATAGGCTTATGACATATTATAAACTAGTAACTTAAGTATATTTTCCATTAAAAACGGTTAACGGTATAATGGAAAACGATAACGCCTAATTGTATTGTAATGTATAACAATAAGACATAAAATCTACTTTTTTTGGTTAAAATAGAATAGAATAGATCGTTTTGAAGTCAAATGGTTTTAATCCGGACTGAAATGCAATTTTTTGTATTCCTTTAATATTAAAATTGAGAATTTGATTAAGCAAAAAACGAGTCAAATAACGTGATGTAAATGTCTAGTACTAACACTATTCACTAACTCACTAAGAGATTCATTCTCCAATATTTTTTCTGATAACTAGATATTTCATAAAGTAGGTACTCAGGGTTACAACGCTATAAATTAGTCTAAGACAGATGTGGATGTCTATGAGCCACAGTTTCTATTTAACATTAATTAGTCTGTATGCTCTTTTATCACCTAGTACCCGGATGACCGAGCTTTGCTCGGTTTTTTTAAGTTACATTTATATACAAATTACATGAATAATAGTTTTTGATCTTATTGACACAATAGAAAAAACTGAACTGGTTATTTGAATAAAAAATCATTAGTGGATTTAGATTAATTAAAATTTTCGTATTTTTAAAAAATACTCGAAAATAATAAAAAATGGGCTCGAAATAATAGATTTTCTCACAAAAGAAGGGAACTTGAAAAAAAAAAGGAAAAAAAGCCGGACTCAAGGCGGGACGCGAATTACCGAACACGGTTATCACGCCCGAACAACGTCCCTACTGAGCTATTACGACCGTTAGTAACCTGTCAAAATTTACCTTCTTATATTGTAGCAGTTTTTGCCTGAAACTACGGACAAAGGGGCATTTTCTAAAAATAAATCCTAGCTAGATCGATTTATTGCCCCCGAAACTCTCTGGACACAAAATTTTATGAAAATCGTTGGTGCCGTTTCCGAGATTCCGATTATATATATATACAAGAAATGCTCGTTTAAAGGTATAGGATTCCTATACAATAAAAAATCTTTTGTTTTAAGGAATTCTCTATTGCATATAAAAACTTGAAAAAAATAAGTAACAGCCTTTATACGTCCCACTGCTAAGCAAAAGCTTTCATTTCTGAAGGAGATAGCCTCTGAGCTACCACGGCTCTTGATGCTTGGTTGTTGTGGCTATAAGCTATGATTAAAATATAGCCAAGTATTTTAGTATGTCACGTAATAAAATTTAAAATATTTATAGGTTTAGCATAATTTATTAAAGTACATATGCAAGTAGGTATAGTATTTACATATGTACACAAAAATTCAAAATGGCCGACGCTTGAAACGACATCGCGTGGTTTCTTTCCAAGTATTACTAACATTACCATACTTCAGGCGGCGAAGCTTATTTAAATGCTCCACCGACTCCATTTAGAGCTTGGAAAAATAAAACCGGGGAACAGATCCCGCGATCTCTCGCTGAGCCGCTTTTGTGGTAAATATGTATAAACCTACCAAAATACAACCTGCTTCCTCCGAACCAGTGTATCATTCGATTTCAGACCTTATTTCTTGGTAGATTTTACTTGGTTTACTGAAAATTTACTTCAAATAAGATTTGTTCGTATGTAAGTATCTACGTTTTGTCGCAGGAGTCTTTTTATTTTATTACTTTTTATTTGGAGGCACAGCTGCCAGCTGTGTTATTTGTGGTTGTAGAAATATCTTTTGTGTTCCTCCCTTGTGCGTAGGTTATCCTTTACATAATTCAAAATGTTAATTCGTATAGCGTGACTTGCCTTCAAAACTCTTTTTTTATCGCTGATATAAAATACGATTAACACCCCATTCTTAAAAGCGATCCTTTGAATAGAAAACAAAGGGAAAATTAAGTAAACGATTAAAAAAGAGTCCCGAGAGTCAACTGTACTTCAACAATGATTCCATTATCTAGAAACGACGCGACGGTCGTTCTTAGACATAAAAGATAAAACTGAATAGTCGCCAATTTTCTTCCATTACTCTCGAGCACCGCAGAATACATATTATCCGTAAAACGGAACGCAAACAAAGTGAGCGTCATTTTCCCGCCAACGATAACTTAATTTCAGTCCGCCATAAGTACGTAATTAGCGAGCCGCTGCCTTATCGGCCGGTGGGTAATTAACCTCTCGGAGGGAGCCTCCATTCACCCCCAGCTCCCTTCCTCCTAGTGTACCTTGAATACCTCCTCAGCTGGTAATATTTCCGCCATATTATGCGGGTATCCGCCCACCTCCTCCACCAATAGCGTGGGTTCCCTCGCTTTTGTTTCGCGCGGTGAGTGCAGCGTTCCAAAACGTTGTAACTTGGATTGTTTCTGTTGGCAAATTTCGCTGTATTCGTGATCAGAGTGTGGTTTGTTTTCGTTGGCGCTAGTTTATTATGTTAACAACTGGCTTTATTCCAAAACATCTTAACATATATACGATAATAAAGAGATTTAATCCTTGTGCCTAGGGTATAAAGTGTAAATTACTATTTCGGTTCTGGTCGTCAGAGGGGAGCCGTCAGTTCATATTTCATGTGTTATCATCTTTTATTGAGTGCGAGGCCGGGTATTGTTGTCGGTTTACTGCGCGGTTATCTCACGCAGCCGCCGGTCTTTAGCGCTGTCTCATGTGATGAATGGAATGCTTTTGCCTAATACGAGTAGGACAATAGTTTTATCAGCTTTTAATAGCGTTGTCGAATTTTAATTAAGTATAATTTTTTTATCTGGTTCTGGCTAAAATTACTAATGCAATAAAACAACGTATCTACATCCGTTGTGGCCAATCAAAAGTCCACCGCTGAGCCTTAAGCTTCCCCGTAGATTGCTTTAGTGGGATATTCGCCGTAGTTGACACGTTTGGCAGGCAGGTTGGCAAACGCAGGTTTTAATGTTTCAGTTGTTATTAGAAAGATACTGCACATACATTGTTTCCCTTTATCCCCTCTTTCGACACCCACGGGGCGATAAGGGGCAGTAGATATTTTAGTGCCGCCACTACACGGTTCATAAACGCATCCACATCGTCATCATCGTCATCATTATAGCGTTGTGCTGGATATGTGTAAATAAATTGAGAAAAACAGCTATCTGCTCCTCTTTGGAAACAATACACGATATCTTTGTTACCCAAATGTAACGCTGTAATGGATAGTGATATACACGGTAGAGCCATGCTGCAGCCATATTAGCAGTATAGTTAGTTGTAGCACGGATGAATTGGCTCGACCGGGGAACGATTACGCTCTCACAGAATACCAGCGTGAAATAGCAGCTTAAAGCTGCTGTGTTTCGTATGGTGAGTAGACATCTGGAGACCCTTTTTTACTGGAAACGATGCATTCCATTTCAGTCCTCGGGGGTGACAACGCATCTGCATTTTGATTCTTAATCGAGGATAAATGTAGATGTCTATGGTCCACAGCACCCACTTACCATCATGTGGACTGTGTGCTCGTTTGTCACCTTTATTCTATAAAAAATTGTTTTTTTCTTATTTAAATTTAAGGCTTAGAATTGGAAACTGTATGTTCACAAATAACGCATGCGTGCGTTATAATTGACGCGGCTTTTAAACTTTAAAACTAACTAAACTTTAAACTTTTAAACTAAAATATACCTAAATAGATAAGTTTAAGACACAATTTACCAATTTTTTAATTTCAAAGTCATTTCCTTACTTCATTAAGGTTTTAAAAACTGTCTTATATTTAAGAAAGAGTAAAACAGAATACGGAGAAAATTCCCTCAGGTACCTATCCATGTTTGTCAATATCAACAAATAATGACTAATTTATAGAACAAACAAATCTAAAATTGAAGTCACAAATCGTATTAAAAAAATATTTGATAATAGGGTAATCAATCACACTCTATTGTCCACGATTTTCGAAAGGTCGTTTGTCAAAATTACCGGGAGTCATTATGTCGTATAATTTTTGGTACCGAGTGTTGGTTACGCGCACACTAATTGGCTACTACGGCCGCCACGCGATAAAGCTCGGTTTACACAGCGTTTTAATTAATAGAGTTCACCGAGTGACGTTAGGGTTGACACAAATTACTAAAGCAAATACTTTTATCTAGGGATGTGGTTTATTTTTTACTTTTTTTTTTGTTATTTTGTAGTGTTATGTTCGCATATGATCCGGTTAGGTTGTATATCGGAACTCGGCTTTAGTGACAGACCGATTATGTAAGATATATCCTGATGGAAAACAGCATTATCACCGCAATTCTCCAAACCGCCTACCTAGTTTGGAGAATAAGTACTTCCCATATTATATATCTACATTAAAGGCGCTACCAGACGTATGCAGGAAAAATCTATGTGAAGTTAAGAAGGCTAGTTACTGCGTCAAAATTTCCAAAACAGAAAGCTTATGGAATCACCTCCCCTTATTTGTCTGTCTTTACTAGTGATTAAGCATTTCACATAGATAATTAACAGTTGGTATAATATGCAGTTTCTCAAACACGGGCGTAATTTTTAAAAACGAATGTTCGACATTATTTTAACTTAAAGAATATTAAAGCAACATTTCAGAAAATATATTTTTGATTAGTATCATAAAAGAATCCTTGAGAAAGCTTTTTGATATTTGAGGAAAATTAATGATATTGCCTAGGCGAAAACTGTGGTCGATGATGTTTTGTTTGTTTTTTTTATGTTGGCGCTTTTACAGGGCCTTTATGATTGTAGCACGAATAGGTCAGCTCGGTTGGGGTAGATACGAATACCAGTGTAAAATAGCATTGCAATGCTGCTGTGTTTCGTATGGTGAGTGTAGAGAACTGGAGATCCTTTTTACTGAAAACGAGGCATTTCATCTAAGTCCTCAGGGGTGACAACGCATCTGTGTTTTCATCCCTAATTGAGTATATATATATATATATATATATGTAGATTCTATGGATCACAGCATCCACTTACCATCAAATGGAATGTGTGCTCGTTTGTCACTCTTTCTTTAAAAAAAACTAAATTGACAACTTAGGTATTCTAATTCTCCTTAAGTCTAATTCAAAATTGCCCATATAAATATAATTTCAAATATCTCAAACTATTAAGCATAAAGAAAGTAATATAAATTATACAACATTTTAAAGATACTAATGTTTTTATCTAATATAATTCTCTAATCAAAGTCGTTATAAATGTCTTCTGGCGTAAAACTTTGATACAGTTTCTTTTCAAGTTTGACGCTGTGGAAATTCTCGGAGAATGATTCCGCCAAAATTTAATGTAATCAAGTCGAGAAACACCCTCGACTGCCACATTTACTACCTATTTTGTCAAAGAATAATAATTTATTTCAGTAAGCATTAACTTATGGTTTTTATGTTATAATGAATAGAAATGAGGATATCGCAGTAGAACCAGAGAAACCGACATAGCCCAACTGAAGTGGCAATGGGCCGGCCATATACACAGTTCGAAGAACCGACAACTCATGGGAAAGAAAGGCTCTTGAGGAGCAGCCTCGTACTGGCAGGCGAAGTGTAGGGCACCCTCCCACTAGATGGAGTGACGACCTGGTAAGACAAGCAGGATTTTGATGGATGCAGGTCGTGTTTTGTGGCATTCCATTTGGGGAAAGTCAATGTTCACCAGTGGACTTGTGACGTGACGTGACGTAATGATGATAATGATTTTCGAATAATAAAAGTTTTACGATAAAAAGTCGATTATAATAATAATTTATATTATTTATTCGACTATAGTCGTAGGCTTAATAAAATAAGTATTAAATTTTTTCACAATTATTCCGAAGTTTCTTTTCGATAAGATGGTTTCTACTATGTCGTCACCATAAGGTAACAATCCGAAAAGGAACCAGACAAACGTTAAACTAAGAAACAGAAGGGGGGAATCGAGGCTTCTCTCGATCCGGCCTCCTACAACGCCTACGTTGGGTTCGGGAACAACGTATGTGATCTCCGCAACGGAGTAACACACAAGGGCGATAACCTCTTCCTTTTCAGAAAATAGGTTCAGGCGGGGATTACGGGTCTTTCGAAGTCGTCCCGGTCCCAACGCCTTAATTCTTCGATATGGACTGTATCACTTTAAGGGGAGAATTCCTTGGGAATAAAACAGCAATTATCTTCAAACCGTTCCGTGAGAGAGTAATTACTTTTCCCTATCACTTCCCTATACTTTTTCTTTCTTCTTCTTATTGACTGCTGGTCTTGCACTTTTCCCGAACGATTTGCAAGAAAAAAGAGAGGCACTTTTCCCGAAAGATTTGCAGTAAATTGATACTGAACTACCTCGAAGCTAAACGTGAAAGTGAGCCGCGCCATTTGTGCGCTTGCGCAACTCAATTACATCAATTTGTACTATCACTCTCTCACGGTTTGCTCAATAACTTTATTTGTATAAGACATACATTTATACAATTTACTTATAAAGATAGCACAAAAATATCTATACTACGATATACATTACATTTTCATATCACAAAAAACCCTTTATTTATTTAACAAAATATGCTTATTTTACTCACATGTTCAAAGTTGGAATTTCTTAAATATTTAACATAAAAAGTTAAAACAATGTTTTCCACTTGAAATTATACATATCTTAACTAATACAATAGTTTAATTTACATTTTCTCTATACATTTCACTATTAAAACACTTTTAAATTTCTTATACAAAACTATCATTATTTCACTTATTCACAGGAATTTTCACATAAAATAACACAGAATTCACCTCTTTTACACGTACAATCAATCTGAAATTTTACAAGTCATTTTACATAAATTGCTGAAATTTGCAAATATTTAAATTTCTACATATTTGGCTTCTTCATCTTTGCTCTACTTAGGAGAAGTACGTGGCTAGCGTGCGTCTATGAACTCACACTATTTGAACAACTAACTTTTGCACGGCTATCGACTATAAGTAAAAATGGAAAGTTTGGTATACACTAATATCAACAATACTAGGTGAATAAATGATTCTACACAATTCTCAAACGCCGAAAACTATTTCTAATCAGATTCTTATCAGTTATCATGTTTCTTATCAAACAACTATAAGTGAATGTTTTCATAAATCAATCATAGAAAATAGGTATTTGTTTTCATACAAAACATATCAAACTCATGACTCAAGACAATACTTATGCAATTAATTTCCATTAATTCTACTTATGCACAGCGATCATCTCGACCGGGGAACAAATCCTGGTCTCTAACTTTATATTAATATTTCTTTAAATTAACATTATTGGAAAGATGATTTCAACCGGGGAACAAATCCGGTAACATAATTTAAATCTTAAAAATTCCCTATATGAATTTATTAAGAGATATTACTAAGAAAACGATAAACTATTCCGACCTGGGAGTCGAACCCAAGACCTTCATATCATTAATTCGATATTTCTTTAAGATTCAACAACCATTTTCTTATCGGAATATTGTTGCTTGATAATTTGTTTTTTAGAAGCTATTCGTAATCGGTCAACTAATAAATTGAAATATTCTTATAGGCGCGTCGCCAACACAATCTAAACAAAAAAAAAGTAGATTCTATTTCTCATTCTTAATTAATATTCTTTACGACGTCTCACACAATTAAAATAATTCTTATTGTACTCGTATGATAAGTCTTACTTTGTCGAAGAGTGACATTTCTAAATATACTTAGTTGATATAGGTACTATATTACAATGGATTTTACAGAAAAGTTATTATTTTTTTATGATGAATGAGAAAGTGAAGTGGTTACTGCAACCATTGGAGACCAGCATCAGACTTCAAATAAAGAGGGCCGTAATATCATCCTTAAAGACTAATATGAAATAACGAAATATCTCAAATCATGTAATTTTACCGACTCTCCTTACCTTCAAACATGAACACCGCAGTGGGTGGAACGCTGCATGGCAGACTAAATAGTTAATAGGATTGTATCTACCTAGATAAACATTAAGGTCTCTTTGTAGGGACTCTAGTGCTTGTGTCAAGATCAATGGGGTCTACTCGGACTGGTTTGGCATCCAAAAAGGTGTCAGACAGGGCTGTGTAGCTTCCCCTTGGCTGTTCAACCTATTTATGGACAGGTGTTTGCAAACTTTAAAAGATGAAGAATGTGGGTTAAGAATGGGCGAGTTAACCGTCAAATGCCTTTTGTGTGCCGATGATTAAGTCATATTTGCGTCATCGGCGGCTGAGTTGCAAATGATGGTTACATTAATGAACTGGGCATTAAAAAAAAGGGGAATGAAAGTGAACGCAAGTAAGACGAAAGTGATGGTTTTTGAAAGAGAAGAAAGCAAAACGGTATGTGAAATAAGAATTTTTGTTGAATCTGACAGGGTGAGAAATTGCGTGATAAGAGATAAATGTGGTATGCAAGATGATGTTGTGACCAGGATTAAGAAAGGAATGCTTCGGTGGTTTGGTCATGTAGAAAGAATGAATGAGGAAAGAGTGACAAAGCAAATTTATATGGCAGATGTGAACAGCAAGGTCGGGAAGGGACGCCCTAGAAGAAAGTTTATCGACCAAATTGGCGATATTTTGAAAATGGGCCACGTTAGAAGTATCCTTAACCGACGAGCATGTATGCGTAGATATATGGATATAAAGGAGGCGAAAGAGGTATGTCAGGATCGTGCCAAATAGAAGTTCGTAGTCTCTGCCTACCCCTCTGGGTGACAGAAGTGAGTGTTTATGTATGTATAAGCGCCTCAGAAAATTCCTTCCACCTAGAAAAAAGCCCTAAAAACCTAGTCTTGCGAATCAA